TACAACCCAGCTTGAGGGGGAGTGTTGAAATCTTACCTTAGTTAGTTCGGATTTCCAGGGCTGCATCATTCTATATTAGGATAGTTGAATATTTGTATTAAGTTACCTAATTTCCTGTTTATTCTCTTTCCTTATTTAAGTTAGATTGTTTCCCTTATTTTTGTTTACCTTTTATTCTATTCACACAGTTTGCATACTACAACCGTGTCCTATATATATGTGGCTATAATTTTCTTTTATTCAATAAGAGTAATCAGAGAGTATACTTTCTCTCTCAGTAATTTTCAAACATGAATGTCGTTGCTCCGATGATGCGAAAAAATTCAGAGAATTTGTCGAAAGGAAGAGAATATTTAAGTTCTTAATGGGACTCAACAAAAGCCTAGATGATGTTCGAGGGCGCATATGGGAACAAAGCCTTTGCCGAATATTGGAGCAGTCTTATCCGAAGTGCGCCATGAATCAAGCAGGAAGAAAGTAATGATGGGGGACTTATGTTGTTCCTGTCACAGAGAGTTCTGCCCTTGCTGCTCGAGGATTCCAAAACAACAACTATGACAATCGGCCTAGGAATGAGAGACCATGGTGTGATCATTGCCGGAGACAACGGCACACCCGAGAGACTTGCTGGAAGATCCACAGAATGCCTGCAAATTGGAAGCCTTCAAGACCTCGTGACAAAGAATGCCAAGGGAACCATGTCTTGGTGGATGAATGAACTAATCCCACTGATTCCAATCCATTTAGCAAGGAACAACTCGAAGCCTTGCAAAAGATGTTCTCACAACAAAATTCTACTCAGAGCATCATTGGAATAGGATCATTGGCACACAAAGGTAATTATCTAAGTGCTTTCACTACAAATTCTGGTAAAAACAGGTCCATGGATTGTAGACTCAGGTACATCTAACCATATGACGGGAGATGCAACACTTTTCCACAAATATAATCCATGCCGAGGAACACTTACAGTGAAAATAGCATATAGGTTTTTATCTAAAGTGGCTGGAACAGGTTCTGTCACTATTTCAAAGGACCTAATACTAAATTTAGTTCTTCATGTTCCAAACTTGGATTGTAATCTATTGTCAGTTAGCAAGCTCACTCAAGAAAATAATTGTGTTGCTAAATTTTTCTTAGACTTGTGTGAATTTCAGGATTTGAATTTGGGGAGGACGATTGGCAATGCTAAGGTGTGCTCAAGACTTTTTCTTCTTAAAGACGGTGAACCTCCTAGAAGACAAACTCATAATGCAGTATGTGTTGAGTCAAGTAGTCAGTCCAATAACAGTTTTGTGTTTGCTGAAAAATTCAATAAGGATAGTGTAATAATGTTATGGCACTATCATCTAGGTCATCCTAATTTTGTGTATCTTCAAAAATTGTTCCCATCTTTGTTCAAGAATAAAAATCCAAGAATGTTTCAATGTGAGGTGTGTCAATTTTCTAAGCATGTTCATAATTCCTATCAAATTCAACCATACAAAGCATCTTATCCTTTTTCAATGATACATAGTGATGTATGGGGACCATCTAAAGTAAAGAATATCACTGGCACTAGATGGTTTATATCATTTGTAGATGATCACACTAGGATTACATGGTTATTCCTCATGAAAGAAAAATTGGAAGTAGGACAAATCTTCAGAAATTTCAATACTATGGTTCAAACACAATTTCAAATAAAAATACAAGTGTTGAAAACCGATAATGCAAAGGAATATTTTGAGACTGACCTAGGTGATTACCTCAAAGATCAGGGAATTATTCATCGAAGTTCTTGTGTTGATACACCCCAACAAAATGAGATTGCATAAAGAAAAAATAGACACCTCCTTGAAGTTGCTCAGTCACTTATGTTTACCACTCATGTTCCTAAATTTTTCTGGGGTGAAGCAGTCTTAACAGCTATTTATTTAATAAACAGGATGCCTTCTCGAGTTCTGAAATTCTAAACAACTTGTCAAGTCTTCCTTCACTCATTTCCTAACACTCGTGTCTTGTCTACTCTTCCTGTGAAAGTTTTTGGTTGTTCAGTGTTCGTCCATATCCATGCTCAACATCAGAGTAAACTTGATCCAAAGGCACTCAAATGCATATTTGTTGGTTACTCCTCAAATCAGAAAGGGTATAAATGTTATTTTCCTATAACTCGAAGATTCTATAATTCCATGGATGTTTCTTTCTTCGAACAACAACCATATTACAAATATGATATTCAGGGGGAGAACTTTACTCAAGAATGTCAGCTTTGGGATGATGATGAAACCTTGGACTCATCTCTCCTCAATCAAAATAATCAAAATGCGGTTATTCAAACAAATCAAAGTCCAATTTATGTCATTCAGCCCGTCCCTAAGACTCAACCTGAATTCAATTCTCAAACAAAACTCCAATCAGTACCTCAGTCAATTCAGACACCTCAACATTTGACTCACACACAGCCTGCGGCAACTAGTGAGTTCCATGTCTACTCTAGGAGGAACAAGACTCAAGAAGGAAAAGGAATGCAGCCACATGATCAAAGTCATGAATCCATTGAACCTCAAAATTCACCAGGTAACTCAAGTTCTCATCCTGCCCCGAGCAACTCATCTATTGATGACAGACCTATTGCCATAAGAAAAGGCATTAGGTCGTGCACAAATCATCCCATCTATACTTTTGTATCATATGGAGGGTTGTCATCTAGTTACTGTGCATTTGTTAGCACCCTTGATAAAATACAGGTTCCAAATTCCATACATGAAGCTCTAAATGTACTTGAGTGGAAGGTAGCTGTTTTGGAAGAGATTCGAGCTCTGGAAAAGAATGGGACTTGGGTGTTATCAGAGTTACCATCAGGGAAACATCCGGTTGGCTGCAAGTGGATATTCACAGTCAAACATAATGCAGATGGCAGTGTTAACAAATTTAAGGCAAGGTTAGTAGCTAAGGGTTTTACTCAATCTTATGGGATAGATTATCAAGAGACTTTTGCCCCTGTAGCTAAACTCAATACAATCCGAGTGTTACTCTCACTTGCCTCAAACCTATATTGGCCTCTATACCAGTTGGATGTGAAAAATGCATTTCTCAATGGAGTTTTAGAGGAATAAGTCTAACATGGAGATACCACCTGGGTCTACTACACCAGCCACAATGAACAAGGTTTGCAAACTCAAGAAGTCTTTGTATGGACTAAAGCAGTCACCACGAGCTTGGTTTGACAGATTCACTAGAGCGGTTAAGAAGTTTGGGTATGATCAATGTCAACAGACCACACTATGTTTGTCAAGCATTCATCATTAGGTAAAAAGGCAATACTAATTGTGTATGTTGATGATATCATCCTAACCGGATATTATGATGAAGAGATACTCAGGCTCAAAGAGTTTCTTGGCTAAAGAATTTGAGATCAAAGACTTAGGCAATCTCAAGTACTTCCTTGGCATGGAAGTCGCTCGATCGAAAAGAGGCATTTCAATTTCACAATGGAAGTATGTGTTGGATCTCTTGAAAGAGACAGGGATGCTCGGATGCAAGCCATCTGACACTCCTATGGACCCCAACTCAAAAATGGGAAGTAAAATTGACAACACTCCAGTTGACAAAGGGAGATACCAAAGATTGGTTGGGAAACTCATTTATCTCACTCATATCCGACCAGATATCAGCTTTGTTGTAAGTGTGGTTAGTCAGTTCATGAACACTCCAACAGAAGAGCACATGGAAGCTGCATACAGGATTCTAAGGTACTTAAAGATGACACCGGTCAAGGATTGTTCTTCAAAAAGACAGCAAAGAAAGAAGTTGAGATCTTCACTGATGCAGATTGGGCTGGGTCTGTAACTGAGAGACGATCTACTTCAGGTTATTGTACATATGTTTAGGGAAATCTAGTCACTTGGAGAAGTAAGAAACAATCAGTGGTTTCTCAAAACAGTACAAAGGCAGAGTTCATAGCTCTTGCACTTGGCATCTGTGAGGGAATATGGTTGAAAAGGATGGATTTCCAGTCTCAGAACCTATGAAAGCTTTCTATGATAATTAGTCTACAATCAGCATAGCGAAGAACCCAATACATCATGATAGGACTAAGCACGTGGAGATTGATACACTTTATCAAAGAGAAGATAGAAGCAGAAATGATATCTCTCTTGTACATTCCAACCAACCAACAGATTGCAGACATCCTAACAAAGGTTGTTCTAAGGAAGACCTTCGAGGATCTTATTTCCAAGCTTGGTTTAATCAACATCTACAACCAAGCTTGAGGGGGAGTGTGTAAATTCATGATTTAATGTTTGATTTCTAGGAATTAGTTGTAACCCGATTCCTAGGAATTAGTTATAATTAGATTTATTTGTTACCTAGAATAAGAGGGATATTGGCTTTATTCACCGATTCCCTGTTTTATATTTTTTCCTTTTTTGGTTGCTTGTTTTCGGGAGAAGAATCCTTCCTCCCTTATTATTTAATGCTGTACAATTAGTCATAATTATCAATGAGAATTATCAAATTCCTTTCTCAAAAACTCACAAAGATCACCAACAAAGAGGATTGACAACCCAGAATTCAGATTCTTAACAATCACACCTATGGGATTGTACTTTAGGGCACAAATGTTATTTATTCAAGAGGTTGTGAAACTACTGAATGACACTAGCTTAAACAGTAAGCGATTAGCTCCTACACCATGTATTTCTTATTCTTTTGACAAATGAGTCTAATATACATGCTTTAAAAATCATTGCCTGGACAACATAAATATTTACATTGTAACTACTCAAACCTTGTAAGCACCAGTTTTCAAAAATTAAAAAATACAATAAATAAATAAATAATAAAAAACCTTGTAAGCACCAGCTGCATATGTAAAGCCTTAAAATTAATGGTCGGCTCAACAATGAACCAAACATAGAATTATTTTATGGTGCAAGAATTACAAATTTTTACAACAACGTCGCTGACCATTTGTAATGAAATCAAGTACGATTTTAGAGTAGGACAAAACGTACATTTCTGGTATCACTAGTGTCATTGGTCTCCATGAAGAACTTCTGTGCTTGTTGAATAACACTGCATGAATTTGGTACGGTTAGTTATCATGGTGGCAACTATGAACTATTAACAAGTTATCTTTACCACCAAAAAGAAAAAACTATTAACAAGTGTTACAATTCAAAAAATCTTATCCTCTTCAAGAGCAGAAAACAAATTATGCAATGATAGAATATATTGTAAAGATAATAACTGACTGGGTGAATAGTAAAAAGAGAAGTGCTTGAATACTATCTATATTCTTGAAGTTGTAATGAATCTGGCCATCAGCAATAGAATATTTTAGCAAGTTCACAAAGAGTCCAGAACTGGTTTACAATTTTAGTTTACCATATAATATCGGAGACAACCTAAAAGAGCATTAAAAAAATAAAAAATGAAAGCAGAAAACAGGCTGACCTTGACAGACAATAGGCAAAGGCAAGCACAGTTGATAACGCTCTCACAAAGTTCAGAAGCCTTTGTTTAACAACCTGACCAGCTTCTGTAGGTAAAATAACTGGATCCAATGCCCTGCAAGAATACTGCTTTGATAAGCAAACTAAACAACAGAAGAGACATCGCCGTAAAAAGTTCATAACTGAAATGTATGCTCTTGCTTTTTTCCTCTTCCTTTTTCTTTTTCAATTTTGATTGCTTCATTTATCTTTTTCTGTACAGTTTTATCATAACGGATCTCCAGCCACCAGCGCTCTCTCTCCTAGGGACACAGTTAGTGATGCCTAAGACAGTTTCTGAATTGTTAAAAATTGCAGGAAGGTGAAGTTTGGTTTCAAAGCTATTCTATTCACGTAGATCATTTGAATAAAAAGAATAGTCAAACTTCTTCATTGTAACTGAGCTTTTTCCCCTGAATTAAACTTCTGGAACAATTTTAAAGTTTCCCTTCTTTTTGTATTGGGAGAGAATGGAGATTAAATGTCTTGTGGACTTCCCATTTACTTCGGTTGTTCTCCTGCTCCTCTTTTATATCAAACTTCTATGTAAAATAAAGAAGATACAAAAAATGATGAAAGAGATACCTGCAAATGAGTATTGCTGCCATCCATAGCAGCAAAGGTTGGACATATGACATCACAATGTGATATGTGTTACTCTTTTTCCAACTATTATCATTCTTCTGCAGTATGTCATGCAATGTGAGATAGGATCAAGGGTCTATAAAACATCTTAGAAACAATGATAATGACAGACAGCAATTATGTGGAATAAAATACATGAGAGAGAGGGAGAGAGAGAGAGAGAGACGCACATGAAGGATCTGGTTTCGGGCCAGACGCACAAGTGGCACCAGACCCCAAACAGCAAAAATAGTGATTCCAGAAGCTATGGCCAATTTGGGCAATAGAGGACTGCATTGTAAAATATTAAAGGACCTGCAGAAAAAAATTATTTGGTCCATACCAAAGAGCATGTAAAATAAAACACGAACTACTGAAGATGGCACCAACTGATCTCATACACTCATATTCAGCGCAAGAACCAAAGCTCTTTATTTTTTAAAAACAATTGACTACATAGCAATTTTAACATGAATCAGAAAAGGATTTCTGAAACCAAGCCATCAGATATAGCTAATTTCTTTACATCTGGAAATCATGGACTATGATCTTCTTGGGACATATGTCTATAGATGAAAAGTAAAATGAATAAATTCAGAGCAGAAAAGAAAAGGAATAGCATAAACGAAAGCACACAAATAGCAGGCCTCAATCCAGAAACACCAAAAGAGACTGGTAGAAATCACCCAGGATCATTAGAAATATATGATCAGTTGTCAAGGAGTTTTCAGTTTTCACTGACTAATTAGCAATATAGAAATCCTGTGTCAATTCATTAGAAGTTATGATAAGAGTTGCAAGACGTTAGAACTTCAAATTCCAAAAAACTCCTCTCAGATGAACAATGAATAAGAAATTGGCGGACCAAAAAAGGGATATAATTATGCAGAAGGTACTGCCATGCACACGTACGAAAGAAAGATAAAAAAAATCCTTACTCACAAGTCATATATATGCATAAATATGCACTCACAGCCCATTAATTGAGATTAAACTACCTGGTTAATGCTACAGCAGCTGACTTAATTAACCGGGGAAGTTCCAGTGGCTGTCCTGATGACAGAAACGAATGGCACTTGAAGCCATTGTGTCTGTAAGGTAAAGCATGTCTAGGCTTGTACAAAATGTTTGACAAATGGATACTCAAAGAATCCTGTCGCTGAAACTACAACATTAAAAGAAAAGGAAAAGCAATTCTAAAAGTCTGTAATCGACACATCATGCGTGTTAAAAAGGAAACTGTTTCTGAACTTTTAAGCCAATAATTATACCAAAATACGTGAAGAAAGGGCGGAACCACATAAATGTAACTTGGATCTTCCTGTTCGACTCTGTAAATAAAAATATTACTTTAGGATGAAAAGAAAAAGAAAAAATTGTCGGACGAAAGTTTGTATTAAAAATAGATTATACCTTAAATTGTTTTTTGCATTCCTGGTTCTTGCAGAGTCCAAGTCCATAAGACAATTGCAATGAACCAGCAAGAACCATTACTGGATTGCAACTGGCAGGTCTGAAGGCACCAGCAGCAGCATAAGATCACAAGATCACACTTATACGTTTTAGCACTTAGCCAACTCTAACACCATAAAATCAAAATTCCACTAAAGAATTAAGACCAGCTATCTCTCGCAATGTTGAAAAACTGCAAAACCAGTCTTTGAAAACCTCACAACCCCAGAACTTGGTCGGGCCAATTAATGATTATAGGCTGCATGGAAAATGTAAAGAATATCAGCCCAGTTGTCTACCGGACACTAAAAGTACATTGACTTCCATTAACCACACTGCCCGTGCTCACTCCTTACTCTCTCTCTGAACGAATAACATAGTACAACCATACTTGAATAAGAAGCAACGCAAGAAATGAAGCCAAAGTTCTATCTATCACAATGAAATTAGTGCATGATTTAGAATAATATACAGCACGCAATCAAAGAAATACAAGTTTACTCTTAACTCATTAACATGTTCCCCCAATCAAGTGTCATAATCAAAGCCTGGTTTCCCACAAATTTTTGGGTGAAACTTTCCAGGTTAATCAGAGAGCCCGTTCAAAATCTCACCCCTTTGGCAGCTTATTACCATACACGCAAGAATTAATTTCATAAACGCCCCCTGAAGTATCAACTATATACCCTAGTTCATCATGTCGAAATTTGAAATGATTCAATTCACCCCTGAACTATATAAAATCGTTTAAAAGACCCATGAACTATCAACTTTGTGTCAATAAATACCCTATTCAGAACATAACTATTTAATAGTTCCTTGATAGCTAACCATTCAACCTTGATTCTCAATCACTATTACCCATCACCATACGAAGACCTATAAAACTATCTTCTTTCACTACTTCTAATTCAAAAAACTAAAAATAAAAAATATACAAAAACAATCAGTATTTCAAATACTAGTCATAAGCAAGAAATTTCACAACCTCAAAAAAAAAAAAAAAAAAAAAAAAAAAAAAAAAAAAAAAAAAACGAAAGACAAAACAATCGAATTCTATCCATATACAACTTTAATCGTATTCAAAGTCGAATAATTTGAGACTTCTCGCTGCATATAATAAAAAAAAATTATATGCAGCAGAATTGTCAACCCGAAATTAGGGCTCAGAGCAATACTTCTGTAGATGAAAATAGCGAAGAAGCCGAAAATCCCAGGCTGCGGAATTTTTTTTTTTTTTTTTTTTGCCTTGATTTCTTTTGGAGAAAGTAGGCTGGTTTTTAGCTTCTTTTTTTTTCTAATTTAAGAAATATGCGTTATATATATATTTTTTTTTTTTGCAGCGGAGGCGACGAGACTAGAGGAGGAGAAAATGATTCGTTTTACTGTGCACCACATAGGCTCCGTTTGTTTGAGAAGCCAAAAGCACTTTTTTTTATGAAGTTAAAAAATGTGTTTAGTAAACACATGAAAATAAATTCTTAAAGAATCTAAAAGCTATTTTCAAGTTGAAATCAGAAGCAGCTATAATGATACGCGCGATAAAAGCATATTGTACAATGTGGGTTTAAATCCGGTGATTTTAGTTTTAATTTTGAAATTAAAATTAAAATTTATGATTTATGATTTATGATTTTTCTAAATCAGGTTAATTGTAGTTTTAATTTTAGAATAAGAATTATAATTTATGATTTATGATTTTGAGTCTAAACTATAGTTCTGAAACTAGAACTTGAACCACTCAAAACTAATGGAGGGTGGTTTTATGGTTCATTTGATATGATGATTTAAATCAGAGTGATTCTAGTTTTGATTTTTAGAATCGAAACTATGATGATTTTATGTTCAAATCATGGTTTTGAAACCAGAACCATGATCAGGGGTTTAAACCACCCAAAACTAAGGGGGTGGGTGGTTTTAGAATCAATGGTGATTCATGATTTAAAACATCATATCAGGGTTCAAACTTTGGATCAGAACCATCCAAACTAAACACTGATTCTGAGTGAGTTAAATTATAACCAATTTTTACTTTTTGTAAACAAACACTGGTTTGAATCCGAAATCATGATTCCGGATTCAAATCCTTATACCAAACAACCACATAAAATCAGGGGTGATTCATGGTTTAAAACATCACATTAAGATTCAAACCTTGAATCAGAACCATCATAACAAAATACTGATTCTAAGTGAGTCAAATCAGAACTATTTTTTACTTTTTACAAACAAGTATTGATTTTAAACCAGAATTATGATTTTAGATTCAGAACTCTTATATTAAACAACACCATATGTGTCTTATAGCGACGTGACATTTCATCATTTTGCATGAATTGAACTTTTTGTTAAAGCTTTTCTGAGCTTAGAAATTGTTCGGATTCGGTGGCTGGCTTCATCGCAATCAATAAAATCAATATGAGAAAAAACCAAAATAAATTTCAAAGGAAATAACATGTTTTTGGGAATAAAAAATTATGATTTTTACTAATGTTTATTCTTTTTTGAGAACCGGTATTCTATGTTTATCAGCCGTCGAATCTGTGTTGAATTTGATAAAAGTCAAATCAGATAAAAAAGTAATACAGATCTGACGGCAAATAAGTAAAGAACACCGGTATTCTAAAAAAAACACCAGAAAAATTTCCTAAAAAATTAAAAGATCAATTACAAAAATACTCCTCGAAGCCCCAGCAGAGTTAGGATTTTAATTCATGGGGAATAAATTAAAATTGTGAAAAATGTTAATAAAATCAACTTTTAATATTTTTAGATGAATAATATATATGTATTGACTATTGAACATACTTAGTAAAGATTGTAGCAAGTAAATTAGATAAAAAAATTATTTAGTAGGGCACATAATACACATGAAAAAATAATAGTTGTGAGTGCCAGAAGAAAAAAAAAGTTCTTTAAGTATGTAAGGCACATTTGAATAAATGCACATTACTTCAACAAGGGCAAATTAAAGAAAGCGTGTTTGAGAAAATAGTAATTGAGAGCGTTTTTTGAAGAAAAAAAATTCTTACTTAGGGATAGATTTGAGAAAAAATATTTTAATGGGTCATTTTTTATATAGCTTAGATTATACTTAAAAATATTTTAGAAGAGACCAATTAGAAAGAAAATTATTTTCATAAGAATAAATTAGAGAAAAAATTTCAATTAGTTATATTTAAAGTATAAAATTTAATAGGAAAAGATCAAACAACAATAGAAAAAAAAAATTTTGAAACTAGATTCTGTAGGCATATATTAAAATTTTTATTGGTAAGGGGGCTGAAAAAATTTTGAGAAAACATATCCTAAAAATCAAATATAAAAAATTCATGGGGCATATGCACCTTTTGAGCCTCATCTTCTTCTGCCACTATCTCAAAATATGATGTGTATAACACTTTGCTCATTGATTTTTAAAATATAACATCCAATTTAATGACAAGTCATAATTTTTATTTTTATCAAGCGCTAATCACTATGATCGCTGCAAAAATATACACTTATTTTCTACTCGTAAGTGCACGAGGTCAACAAGTAATAAAGTAGTAAGTGAGTGTCGTGTCCCACGAGGATTGTGTTCCTAAAATTTAGCTAAGTACTTGTGTTCCTAAAATTTAGCTAAGTACTGCAACTAGAATAACCTAGTTTTATCTAGACAAGTCCAACATAAAAATGGGATCAACAAAATAAAAATAAAATGCTAAACTAATTAAATAAGCAAATAAAACAATGCAAGGAGTTTTTGGGATCGAATGGGGCTCTAATGATAAGGTAGCTAGGGTTCTTGATTTCACATTGCCTAGTTATTCTAATAATTTTTAATGCTATTGATTTCCCTCAAGCCAAACATTAATCATGAATTTCCTAAAATAATCCAACTCCCTCTCTCGAGTGCCGAGTCAAATATATACAAAATCACTTAATTAACATTCCTATTAATTAAGTTAATTGTGCATTCATTAAGCTCTAATTTATTTGTGATTACCTAGCTCATATTCATCTCCCGATTCCAATACTCACTAGGCTGTGTTCAACAAATCCCAACATGTGCAAGTGACTCTCTCAAGCCTAAATCCACATATCTAATTCTTCTAATCAATCTTTCAATTGATTAAAACATTAAGCAAAGAAGAGCACAAATGTTTGGGCATGAAAAACATCAAATAGCATCAAATATTCAAATCATAATCGTAGCAAGGTTACATCAAGTCCCCTAGCATAAAAATCTAGCAATCCATCAATGCAAACTCAAACATATTCAAACTTAAACAAATATGAAAATACATGATGAATCCACAAAAAAAAAAAAAAATACTAGGTTTAAGAACAAGAGGAGAAAAGAAAATACTAGTTTAAGAACAAGAGGAGAAAAGAGGAAGAAAAATAAAACTCCAGTGTAGTGCAGCTTCCAATCTCCAAGAGCTTCCTCCTCTGGTTCTCCTAAAAACTAGGGTTTTTTTCTTCTCTGTCTTGTCTGCTCTCCTTAAACCTTAACTCCTCTACTCCCCTCAGGGACCAGCCAAAATTCTCCAAAAATCCCTTGGGTTTTAGCTTTTAGGCCACCTCAGCACGCGAGAACATGCATGAGAATGCGCGGCCGCGTGCCTGAAATAGCGCGGGGCGCGCGCTGGTGTGAGTGGGGCGCGCGCAGGGGGCCAGGGCGCGGGCGCGCAGCTTTGGACGGCGCGAGCACGCGCCCCATTCTGACTTGGCTTCACTGATGTGGGCACGCGGGCGCGCACCATGAGAGCGCACCCGCGCCTCTGCATCGGGCTATTTTTGATGTTTTCTTGATTTTCATCTCCTTTTCTTCCAAGTGATCCAATTTTTCTTTGTTTACCTGAATCACTCACAACTATATTAAAACAACCTAAAAACTTGAAGATATTGCAAATTATCCAATTTCAGGACATTAAATAAGTGAGTCAAAACTCACTTATCAAACTGCAATAGATATTTGTCCTCTACCTTAAAATATTGCATAAAATTATTGCTCGAAGCCATTGATAATATCTTTCTCAATGTACAATAGTCAATTTTCATTCATGGAATGAATAATTCATTTATATATTAGAGAACAAAATTATATATATTTTTTGTTTAAACTAAAGCAAACAAAATAGAACTACAACAAAAAATAAAAGGAATAAAATGTTGTAAACAAACAAAATCATATCTACTTGATTATTTTATTATCGCAAATAAAAGGATTGTTTATATTTTTTTATCTAAAAATAATTATTTGTGTACACTTTTTATTCAAGGTTTTTAGCACATTTATACCTTAAATTTACCGTGGTTTAGCAAATTATTCCTCTCATTTTTAATTTTGATAATTAACTCTTTAAATTTACTTAGAGGTGAAAGTTCGAGCCGCCCAACCCGGTCGGGGCCTGAATGAAAATTTTAAGCTGGTCCGGCCCGATCCTAAATGGGAGAAAAATGGCTTAGTCTAGCTCTGAGCTCAAAAGGTTTACGGTCGACTTGAAATTTTATAAGGTATTTAAAAAAAAATCTTAAAAAGGAGAACGTTTGAGTGACCCGAATAAATTTTTAGGATCAATACCTTAGGCTGGCCTGGGCTAACAACAGCGGGTCTCTAGCTAACCCATTTAGCCTTACTCAAACTTACAACCTAAACTTGTTTATTGTTGCAATTAGCCATATTTGGGTAACAACTGATGGGAACTAACATGTGCCACTCACACGTAGGGTTTTAAAGAAACAAAAGCGGTATTTTATATGCCTAGATTAATCTCAGCCATTGATCTTTAAATCCTTAAATTGAAACCATTCATCCATTTTTTTTTATTTTTTAAAAAACCATCTCTCTCTCTTGCTTAAGCGGAATCCTTGCTCAATCTCTAGCATCCTTTCTTGCTTCATCTTCGACTACATCGCGGCCGTCTACGCCTTCTATGGTGACGATGACCTCTCCTCTTGCATTTTCGCCTTCACCTACGACAGTGACCTCAATCTCCATGAAGATGTCGTTGGCATTCTGCGGATTGAACGGAATGAGGAGTTCTAGTGGCGCTGCTGGAAATGCGACTGCTAGGTGTGGATTTTGCATCTCCGGCTTCGCGCTATGTGGATTTCGCATCTTTGGTGGCGGAGTGAGTGAGTTTTTAGGAGAAAGTGTATGATTATATTGCCTAGTTTCCTTGAAGAATATTGTTTGGGGAAATTAATATTTTGTTTCCTTTTGGTTTTCTATTTTCTTTCAGGTTTTTTGGATTACTAGTGCTAGTCGTGGAATTGGTGTGTGATATTTTTTATATGGATTAAACTTGTTATGGTCCGTTCTTTTCACTGATTCGAGTTTAGAATTTGAGTTTTGTTACAGTAAAAAGTTTTCAGAAACAGTCACATTTAACTTTTTTGTTACAGTAAAAAATTCACACAACATCACACCTCAACTCGAATTAAAAACTCGAATTAACGAACCGAACGGGCCCGACATTTGTTGTTTTATTCTAGGGATATTCAAGTGGTTGGTTTCCGTTTTCGTTATGTTTTCTGGAGCTTCAGAATATATATAAAAAAAAATATTCCACTTCAAATCATCATATAAAATAGAAAGAAAAATACATTGTTTGTGATGATACATGTCTATTATTTATATAATTTTAAATAATTAGGTATTATTACAACATTTTATTTTTTTATTATTAATTGAATGACAATTAATTATTTTGAGTGTAGTAAAATAAATAATATTTTTTTACCATCTTAAATGATATTTTTAATATTTTCATATTTTTTTTATAAATTGTCTCGTAAAGTTTTTGATAGGCTGGTCGGTTTCTTTTTTAGCTCTTTTTTTTATTTAAGAAATTGCCTTGTAAAGTTTCAGGTTAGTCGACTCACCTTTTTTTTTAGCTCGATTATATTTTGGGTATGTTTATTTCACAATTTAAGTTAAAAATTTGAATTATGTATATGAGAGAAAAACACTCTAATAAAAAAAGTTAAATTTAAATTTCTATAAGAGAAAACACTCTAGTAAAAAAATTTTGTTAGGATTTTTTTTAGTTGGCAATTTATTAATAATTGGTTGTAAAATTCAAAAACAGGTAAAACAGGTACTTTTAACAACTTGCGTTTATGGATGAAATCAAAAGTGATTTTGGCTGATTGATTGTTCCAAATTGGAATGATTTGCCGGTGGAAATCAGATTTTTGGCAAGGTAATTTTAGAGAATAATTGAGAGATTTGATTGCCTTGTGTTATCTTGGTAATTCTAGCAGATTTGAGATAGAATCTGTTTATGGAAAGAATATTTGATAGATTGAGTGCTTAAAAGTTGGAAGGAGTTGATTTATATGTTATCTTTCTCGTGATTTTATATTGTTTTAAAAGGCAAAGTTGGATTCGGATTAGAATTAAAAAGGAATAAGACCAACTTTGATATATACATGAGACATATATATGTGTGTGTGAATGTATGTGTATGCGAAGTGAGGTGTGTGCGTGGAGTGATTTGCCCGTGAGAGAGAATAATTTATTATCGTGTGCTTCCTAGATTTTCACGCATAATATTTTTGAGAAGTTCCCATTGTCATTTTTTAGGAGAAGTTGTTGTTTTCAGGAGAAGACATTTGCAGAGTTGAAGGGAGTTCAACCAATCATCGTTCTTTGGGAAAAGAATTTAAAGTTTTCGGGAGAAAGCACAATGCCAATCAAAGAAAGTGCGTCGCGTAGTTTGAAGATGAGTGGTACTCGCTAAACAAGACTACTGAGAAGATTCCTCATAGCAGCGTCATCATCCAAGAAGGAATCCTTGAGTGATTATGCCTGATTAGTGATTGGAAATCTTTGAGATTTAAGGAATGTTTGGTTGGAGGATTCAAACCATGATTTGAATCATGGTTCATGGTTCGTTACAGTATTTTCTCTCACAAAAAAATACACGTAAATAAAAAATGGTTCTAATCACATGATTTTAATCCATGAACCAAACATCTCCTTAGTGGTTTGTTTAATGTCTGAGTGTGACCTCGTAAATGTAGGTTGTTTAACCGAACTGCGATACCAACCTCTAGTGTTCTTTACATTATGTATTATTTTTTTGTTTGGTTAACTTACGTTTCAGCATTAAAAAGACGCAATTAATCATTAGTGTTTTAAAAAGTATTACAACACTCTCGAGAATACCTACATAAAAGACATATCTAACAAACTTAAATTGTGAAAAGAAAAGGACATTTATCATTTGAGTCGCCGTGCCTTTTGAAAAGAAAAATGATCATTTGAGTCGCTGTGTTGGACAATCCAAACTTACATCTCTAATTTTGAGGTGAATAGTTCGGCCTCGAAATAAAAAATGACTCCCTCAAAGAAAAAATAAACTCTTTAGGAAGAAAAAGAAAATAAAAAGAAGAAAAGAATCCTCAAAAAATAAAGAAGAAAAAAATAAAAAGGGCTTTTTTTTATTAGGGTTTTCTCAACAATAAGATTAATTTTTTACTGCTAAATTTAATTAAAATAGATTGATAAAAAAAATATGCAGATTATTTTTAATACATATTGAAGGCAGAAAAGTTCATTTTCTTATAGTCCAGAAACTCTCAAATAAAAAACTTTGAACAAAGATTTTTAGAAAAAATGGGAGACAAATGAGTAACCAATCACAAATCACAAACAAAATATTATGATATAAACTTGAGAAGTTGGTAGTCGAAATCGTTGAACAAAGACTTTTGGAAAGAAATGGGAGACAGCGAGAAGACGAAGAACGAGGCTCTGCAGATAATCGGCCAGCATAGAGACCTGCCTCGCTTGGTCGTCTTCGATCTCGATTACACTCTCTGGCCCTTTTATTGGTAATCCAATTCCCAACTACATATATATAATGTATGTAAAAATATATAAAACATCGTATGAGTATCTTGATAGCTTGTTATGAAATTCGGATGAAATTCGGGGCAAATAAATATTTTTTCTTTTTTTGGGTTTTATTCATCATTACTTATCAGCGAATTCGGGGATGAGGAGGAAGAACCGTATCTGTACGGTGAGGCATTAGGCGTTTTGCATGGATTGAAGGAGAAGGGCATTGATGTGGCCGTTGCTTCTAGAACACCCACTCCTGAAATAGCCACTGCCTTTCTTCACAAATTGGGTATTCACTCCATGTTTGTGGCCCAGGTGAGCCATAAGAAAAAAAAAAAAACTTGGTATTTTCTATTGGAAATATGATTTAACATATTTTAAGAGTATTTAACACATCTGCCTGGCAAGTTTCCTCTTATTTATTTATTTTTTAAATTTTAATAAACTGCCTACTGCATTTAACGAAGTATTACAAATAGACCTCAAATCGACGATGGTGGTTAAAATTCTGGATAAAAATCGTACACATTACGGGACCCACCTTTAAATTTCGTAAAAAAATTCTTAAAAGAGCACGTTTGGTGCAACAATAGAAGGTGGACCTCAGGTGTGGGTCCCACACTATTGAACTCATTTTTTATTTTTTATTTTTTATTAGTAACACTACTGATATTTTATAACATTACTCAATTTCATATGACATGTAATTGTGTTTTTATCTCAATTTTAATGCTTGTTTTTTTATTGTGTTTATTGGACAATTTCTGAATGAATGCAACTCACATACCCACTAAATGTCAATGGAGCTAGCCCTATATCAATAGATTTAGAGACGTTTTGTAATATTTTATGAAGTTCAAGGGCTAGTTCACACAATCAGAAGTTCAGATGCAAAATGCTAAATTCTAAAATTTATAAGGGAAACATAGCTTGCTAGTCTCTATGGGGTTGTGCTGGTATTGTTCTTTTTTTTTTTTTGCTAAATCATTGTTAATGATGCAGGAGATTTATCCCAGTTGGACTCACAAGACAGAACATTTCCAGAAGATCCACAGAAAGACTGGGATACCTTTTACTTCGATGCTTTTCTTTGATGACGAGGACAGGAATATTCAAGCAGTAAGTTCTTTTAGGCCTATGTTCCCACATTGTTGCCTGTTTGTATGTCAAATTGCTTATCCATCTTCAGCCAACTTTAGTTGAGTGATGTAACTTTTTTGATGGTATTTTCAGGTGTCAAAAATGGGTGTAACAAGCATTTTGGTTGAAAATGGGGTGAACCTTGGAGCTCTGAGGCAGGGATTGGCAGAATTTTCTCAAAAGTCGGCTCATTGAAGTTCAATTGTTAGATTATTTCCCTCACGATCATGGAAATGGAATGTGACAAACATGATATTCAATAGAATTGTTGTGCAGCTATTATTTTATCTTTTTGTTTTTTTTTTCATTTTTTGCTCTCAAGAAGCTTCTTTTCCGAAGATTCTCAAACTGAAAGTTCATTAGTAAAGTAGTTTTTGAAGCGCGCCCATTTCTTTCTTTTTCCAAAAAAGAAAATAAATCTCAAGAAAACTCGTGAAAAAAAATGGCCAATTTATTGAATGCACTGCAAAAGTCGAAGACGACGAAGAAAATACAAATGAATTTCTAGTAAGCTGTTATAAAAGAGAATAAAAGCTTTCACACACAAGCATCAGTCTCACATACAAGCTTGGACAGTGGGAAAGAAAGGGAAAAAAAATCCATGCTTTTCATAAATTAGCACGGCAAGTTAGCAATCTTCTGAAAGTACGTAGTCTGCAATAACTACAATATGCAATTCTTTTAACTTACATCTGACTGTTGATCTCTCTGAATGGAGATCTTACATCAGAAATTGCTTCAAATCTCTTCATTGCAGCAGGGCTATCCACATTCTCTTTCGCAGGGCCAGAGTGTTCGTCTTCCGAATTCGCGTCCATTTGAGAACCAAGGTTGTCACAAGAGAGCATTATCGTCTCCAACATGTCCATCAGTTGTTTGTCTGTACTGGAAAACTCACCAATCCTGTCATCCAACCCCCCGACAAAACCCAACAAGTTTTCCCTTTCTGATGACAACTTGGTGATATCTTCAAGTAAATCTCTCTTCTCACTCTTGAGCTCCTCAATCAAGGCATCTGAGTTTTCCAGCTTTGTTTTCAGTTGATCACCCAACTTCATCATTTCCAACTCTTTTGCTTCCAATTTCGCTTCAACTTCCGATGCTTGTTGCTTTAAATCACTCGTGGACTTTTGCTGAAGCTCCAGTTTCTGCTGTACATTGCGGATGTCATCCTCAAGCTCCACAATCATAAGCTTCTTCTCTTCAATTTCTAGTGCAGCCATAATCTCAGCAGTAGTAATTTTCTCCCAAGCTTCATGGATCAGATCAATTTCTGCCTGTTTCTCAGCAAGCTGGGAAGAGAAAGAAATTAATGAGCCATTAAACTTGTGCTCCAATGACTCCACAAGCTGCATCAAATCATTTAGTCTCTGGCTTTTCTGATCCACAACAAGCTGCATAAGCTTTTCTTTCTCGTGCTCAATCGTTCTTTCCCCTTCAATTTTTGCAAACAGAAGTTCTTCAAGCTCTCTTCTCAACGATTCCTGCTCTAACCACCCAACTTCTTTCTGGAGCTGCTCTAAGATCCTATCCTTCTCTTCTATAATTTGGGAAAACCTCGCTTTCTCCAACTCGAAGAACATAGCTTTTTCCATCTCTCTGGAGTAAGCACCAGCTTCTTTTGTTCTGAGATTCTGCTCAAGTAATGCAATCTGCTGCTGAAGATCACCTATTCTTTCTCCATTCTCTTCTAGCATATGCGTAAGAGTCTGTTTCTCTTGCTTGATGGTTTCCCCAACATCTACTTGCGCCAGAAGAGAAGCTTCCAACTCTTTACGCATCTCAAAGTTTTCTTCAAGTTCAACTTTGAAATGTTCAGCAACTGACTTCCATATGTACAGTTCAAATTCCATTTGATTCCCTTCACAGATTTTCTCGGTCAGTTCAGTGTTTGTTCTGTCTTGGTCGTCGCAGACTTCCCTCAGTTTCTTATTTAAGACACTTTCCATATGCAAAATCTGCTCTCTTAAGAAAACCTCACGCGTGGATGATTCGACCAGCATTTCCTCATACCTGTCAAGATCTTTTTGCATTAGAAATTGCTGCTGACCGATGATACCCAAGGATTCAACCCTTCTTGACAAAGATGCCGCATTCTCTTGTTCCTTTTTTATATCTTTCTGCAATCTGTCAATATCAGCGCTCTTCATCTCCAACTGCTGCATCAGGAGAGAAATTTTTTGTTCTTTCTCTTTGTTACTCCAGTCCATATCGGCCTTTTCGTTTGCAATCTTCAACTGCGCTTCAGAGATTCGATCTTGTAACACTAATAACATCAAAGAGATCCCCTCATTTTGCAACTCTAGCTGCAGGCTTGAAGAATGAGAGTCTTCCAAATCTATTCCAAATCCCTTAATTCTTGCATCTTTATCAACTAGCTCGGACTTATACTTGTTGAGATCTCCAATCATCATGTCCAACTGATAGTTCCATTCAGCTTCTTTAGTCTTGAGATTTGCCAAAAATTCTCCATGGACCTGTTCAAACTCCATCCTCAGTGCTTTAATGGTCGCATCTCTACTCTCTAACTCGGACCTGCAGTTGTCGAGGTCACTTGTAAGTTTTTCCAGTTGGGAGTTCCTTTCAGCTTCTTTTTCTCTGAGATCTGCAAAATGGTCTTCATGCATTTTCTCCAATGCCATCTTGAGCTCATTTTCATCTCTATTTTCTAGCTCTGACCTGCTCTTGTTTAGATCTTCTGTCATCAGTTCTATTTGATATTTCCATTCAGCTTCTTGCACCTTGAACTTCGCTGCAAAGTCTCCGCAGACCTGTTCCAACTCAATCCTGAGTGCCTTTATCGTTGTGTCTCTACTCTCTAATTCAGACCTGTAATTGTTAAGGTCACTTGTAACTTTTTTCAGTTGAGAGTTCCTTTCAGCTTCTTTAGCTTTGAGATCTGCAGAATGGTCTTCATGCATTTTCTCCAATTCCATCTTAAGCTGCTTTATCATTTCTTCTTTACAATTGTGGAGATCCTCTGTCATCATTTCCAGTTGATTCTTCCATTCATCTTCCCGAGCCTTGAACTTCGCTGCAGAGTCTCCATGGGCCTGTTTGAACTCCATCCCGAGCTCTTTTATTATTGCATCGTTACTCTCCAACTCATACCTACAGTTGTTCAGATCGTTTGTAACTTTTTCCAGTTGAGAGTTCCATTCAGCTTCTTTAGCTCTCAGATTTTCAGTATAGTTTGCATGCACTTGCTCCAGCTCCATCTCAAGCTCCAATATTGTCTTGTCATTGCGCTGCAGCTGCAACTCATGATTCTTCAGTTCCCGCGTCATTTTCTCCAGTTGGGAGTTCAGTTCAGCTTCTTTAGCCTTCAGATTTTTAGCAGACTCTTTGTGCATCTCCTCCAAACACTTGAGCTTGTTTTGCAGTTTCGCCGCAGAGGGTAAACCTGATGCCTTCTTAATTTGACTTTCCTGTAGTTCTTTAAGGGAACTCCTCAGGTCCTGATTTTCTTGCTCCATTTGTCTTTTCTGATATTCCATCTCCTTAAGGATTGCCTCCTTTTGGCCTACTGAATGCCTTAAAGATGCAATTTCTTCGTCCCTCTTCTCAGTCAAACACTCCAACTGGGATTTTGCATCCTCATACTCATCGAAAACATTCTCAAACCGGCCCTTGACATCAGAAAGTTGAACTTCCAGAGACTTTCTTCGGCTTTCTTCATGAGCCAACGCTTGGTTGCACATCTGCAACCGGTTCTGAAGATCTTCCAAAGTCCTGGTTTGGGAATCTAAGCTTGACTGCAAAGAGCAGATCTCATCAAGCAATGAAGACTTCTCCAGCTCCCACTCCTTCTTACTTTTCTTGAACTCATCTCGCATCTTTCCATGTGCTTCTTCAAGATACGTAAACTGCTCCTTTTTCCATTTTAGCTGCTCTTCAATCTTCCCCTTTTCCTCTTCTAGTTTGAGTAACACACCCTCTCTCTCTCTTTCTTCCTTTTTTCCCTTGGCTTTTTTCTCGGCTTCTAAGCATTTCTTCTGTGAAACTGACAAACTCCCTTTGAGGCCTTCAATTTCTTCCTTACACGCATGAATTTGTTGCTTCTGGTCAAAGTTCTTCCCATTTGCCTTCTCTAAAGCCGATACCAATCCTTTGTTTTCATCTTCCAATTTTTTCAACTTCTCATCACAATCAATTCTAAGTTTCTCATTTGCAGCGCTTAGACGTCTGATAATGGACTCCTTTTGATTCAAACTTCGCTGAACATCTTCGAACGTCTCTTTTAGTGCAGCGATTTCCTCCGCCTTTTCATTTATTTCTTTAGCCTGCTTCTCGATTCTCAAACTCGCTTCCTGGATTTTAACAAGCTGCTCGTTGTGAGACTTCTTCAGGTTTTCCGATAACTCCGCTTTGCTTTTGTACTCTGCCCTGAGCTTCACGATCTCAGCTTTAGCTTCATCAAGCTCGTCATAAACCCTTTCCATATTCTTTTCTCCTCCCAAGAATTAACTCCAGACTTCAGACTAAATAGAAATGAGACCTGTTCATCCAACAAAAAAGAAAGAGCACATATTCTGATGAATGCTCCATTTTATTACTCAAAGTGTTGGGAAAAAGGAAGAAAAATTAAAGAAATTTTGCAAGTTAGTAATAGTAGAATTTTCCATGCTTAGTAAAAGAAGACGGATATAATAAAAGTTAGTTTGGCCGAAAATTCGCCTTCCAAAAATCACTAAGGACGTAATTATAATAAATAAAAATTGTTGATTCTGCAATTAACAAGAATTACTAATTTAATTACAGACATACGTCTGTTTGGTTGCTGAAAAATTCCGGAAAGAAAATGACCTACATTGCAATTCTTCTTGGTTTTCAGAGTACATAGAAACAGGAAAAGTTTTCACTTAACTAGATAACATGTAAAATAAGGGAAAAAATAAAATAAAATAACACTACACTTTCTCCCTCGTCCTTAATTTTCTCGAGAACGAAACAGACGCTCAAACAAATGACCGCAAAACAGAAGGATGCCATAAGAACGAGAAATTCAACCTAACTCAGAAATTTCAAAATGACCAATAATGTTTTACCCCCAGAAACACAGGAAGGCAAATATTACCCATTTGAACGGAAGATTCTGTTAATTTTCCAGCGGTTTCTCTGTAAACAAACAAGTTTAAGGAAAAAAAAGACTGAATCGAAACAAATACCTGGTTTATGAGGTGGCATTACAGATTCGCCATTAATGGAGGAGCAAGTGAGGCCTGAAGATTTTGTTTGTTTTCCTTGGCTCTTTGATTTGGAAGAATGGCAGAGACGAATACGAGAAAAAGAATGATTGGGAAAAGTAAAAGGCAAAAAGATGGATATTTTGAAGTAGCCGTTGAGTGAGAGATTTTGAAATTGGATTTGACGGCGTGATGGTGTTTGTTATAAACGCCGTTATTCTTGGATCCCAAAATCCGTCACTTGCTCTCTGAATCTCTTTTACGCTTTAACTGAAAATGAGAAGGTTCATTGGTTATTATTAGGGTTGTTCATGAGTTAGGTTGGTCGTAAGATTTTTTTTCATTTTAAAAGGTGTGAGTTGTACATATTTAGCTCCAACGATGTTAGAAAAATTTCACAACTTAATGATGTTTGGGTTGGATTTGGGCGGTGCAGGGTGGGTTGGGTAGTCGGTTTCAACATTCAAATAATCAATGACTTAAAATTTAATCCAACATTTAAAGTTCATCATCAAATATAAATAAGAGAGAAAAAGAAAAATAAGCCAAGACTTGAGATGAATTAAAATTAATAGGCCAATAGTTTACATAAGTTAATAAATAGGCCAAATTACTATTTTCGTCCATAACTTGTCTGGTTATGAATCATAACTTGACAAGTTATTGTCCATAATTGTTCATAACTTGTCTGGCTATGAACCATAACTTGACAAGTTTGTCCATAATTTATCTGGTTATGAACCATAACTTGACAAGTTATGGCCTTTTAATTTCTATAACTAAAAATTGGCCTATATATTTTCTTAAATTTTTCATATTGGCCTATTTTTTACTATTTCCCTATAAATAATAACTCTAACATTCAAACAAGTAGAAATTCAAAGTTCAATTTAACATCAAACATGAAGTAAAGTAGTCCATCTAACATCAAACATGAAGCAAATAGTCCATCTAACATCAAACATAAAGTAAACATAAATTAGTCTACACTCATAAATTAGTCTTAACATAAAGTAAACATTGAGGCTTAATTCAAACATGAAGAAACTAGAGAGTAGAAATGAGTTGCCTGCACAAGGTTAGATATTAGAGGAGGTAAATTAGAGCGCAAGTTGAGTTGAGGTGTGCGGGTCATTATGGGCTTAATCTACACCCCGCCCCAAAACTTTAAGCCAGATATTGAATGAGCCGAAAAAAAAATTTTAATACTAGAAATTGTATTTTTTGAGTTGGGTTGGGGTCGGATGGATTGGGCTTGCGGGTTTATGAACAGCTTTTTATTATGAAGTTTTTGAAACGGAATACAAAGGGCTATTCATATAAATGCCGATTTGGAGCATTTTCTGTCTGAAAATTCCGATTTTTCGTTTTTGTTTACAAAATTATAGACTATCTCATATATAAAGACAGTTATGTCCTCATATAATGGAAAAAAAAAATCATTATAGAACAAAATAGGTAAGAAATTAACTAAATCAGTAATTAGAAAAAGGTTAACAATTAATGAAATCATAATGAAATCAGTAATTAAAATTGAAAAATAATTAGGAAAAGGAAAGTTTCTCTTTTCACAAAATAAATAAAAAAAGAATTAACTTAATATTTTTAAAACCGGTGAATCACGGCTCATTATGTGCTTTTATTTCACCAAAAAAAAATGCTCAATGAAAACCAATAATCGTTATAAAAATGAATACGAATATAAAATTATATAAGTTTGCCGAATGAAAATCATAATGAATACACAATATTAAATGACATGTGAAACAAGGGAATGTATATGACATAAATATGATTTCAATATTAGAATAATGAAATTATCATGAAAAAAAATATATAACAAATTATTATAAAACAATCATCATAAAAAATGAATAACGAATATAAAATTACACAAGTTTGTCGAATAAAAATCAGTCATCATTATGAAACATAATATATGATGCAAAGGAACACAAAAAAATCATTATGATAGAGAATATATGACTAGTTCATATGAATATACAAAACCACATATTAATTTCATTTGCATAATGTTAAAATCATTATCATACAGGAGAACCAAAAGAAAAATACAAGATGTAACGAAAAGCATAATAAAATACAAAAATGTATAAAAAAGAAAAAGAATAATTACTAGAATAATGATCATATCATAATGAAAAATAAATTTCAATAAAGAAAATATATAAAATTTAACATTTTAAAAATCTAAGAGTTGTCGGAATAAAACTCATTAAAAAAAAAAACAATAAAAGCAACTCATTACTTGAATGATAATATGAGAACAAAATAGAATAAAAAATAATAGACATTCAAAAACAATAATATATACCAAGAATATGAAATACACAGCAGAAGATATATACCAATAATAAAATAAAGACGATTTGACAACAGGAAAAATGAAGACAAACAAACAAACACCAAACCATCCCTTTGTGTGATCAAACCACCCTTTTGTGTGAAATGACCCACAAACGAATCCTTTATACCAAACCAACTTTTACAAATACAACTTCAAAACTAGGCATTTAACCCAAGTACTTCGAATACAAACCGTTGGAGGAAAGGGGTTGGGCTGAGCACCCCTTACTGGAAGGGCCCAATATTGTGGGCCGTTGTTTTAATTATGGGCTTTAGAGTTGGGTTCTATTCGGCTCAGTTGATTATGAAGAAAATTCGAAAGAAATAAGAGAACTCTTTAAATATCTTATTTACTAAAAATATCTCTTTTAAAAAACTCTATCTCTGACCTAGTTTTAATCTAAAAGTAAAAATATATGGGCTAATGTTACTCAAGAAATAAAAATAAAAGGGGGTTCCATTTCAAAGAGTATTTTTTAGTAAAGAGAAAAATATATACTTTGTCATGATTTTATGCAAACTTATTATTTATGTAATTCTAAATAATAGAGTGTCTTGTGATCTTTTAGATGATAATTGTTTATTTTTTTAGTAGAATAATATAAATAATATATTTTTTTTTTACAATCTTGAGTGCTAAAAACAAAGAAAAGAAAAAGGAAGAAACAGATCCCAAAAACAACCTAAAAAAAAAAAAAAAAAAGATGAAAGTCACCTAGTGAATAGTTCTGATCTCTTCACGTCTCAATGTGACAGTATTGCGACAGTCATAGGTAAAATGACACTAAATTGTAATAATAATCACATGTATTTATTTGCTAGATAATGTTTCATCATAATTCATACATGTGGCATTCCGGAAAGAGATTTTGTTGTCCCAATTACCAAGCTCCAATTTCTGTATTTGGTGTTGTCACGATCAATCATATGATGATTCTTTATCCTTTTCCCTCTTCTTCGATATGAATGAACGTGTATCCAATTCATTTGCTCAAAAACTAGATGTATTTCTCTACCGCACAAATTATGTTTGGATTACGAACCACAAGCTTTTACACCCCTCCACCTGAGCCGTTCATTAATTAATTTTAGCTGACTAGGCAAAACAAAAACAAAAAATCACATGCTTATATTTCATGGTTTCGTTTTGCGCTAAAGTCCTTTTTTTTTTTTTTTTCAATATGAAAATGAATATAAGTGTCACACTCCTTTGTTTATAATATAAATTTTGAGATCCATCAATGAAACTGAAATGAGTTAACTCAATTCTATTTAAAGTATTTAGTTTCAAATGCAGATCTCATCTTCAATTTTTGGTATTCTAATTAAGTCTATTCAATTACACTATGTTGCGTTATTTTTTCAACTACGCTATATTGCGTTATTTTTTCAACTACACTATGTTTCGTTATTTAGTAAATGTATACGTAAAAGCACATTTTAAATCCGTTAAAAAGCATTTCAATTTTTTTTTTACTAATCGTTCGCTTCGTAGATTTGAGTTTTTAATTCGAGTTAAGATGTGATATTTTTTTAGAGCTTTCAACTGTAGCAACAAAAAATAAATGTGACATTTTGAGAACTTTTAACTGTAAAAACTCAAATCGGTAAAATGAATTGTATGTATATATATTCACATGTCCGACATTTTTTTTTTGTCTAAAGAGTTCCTCTTTTCTTTTGTTTGTATATATATATATATATATATATATATATACACATGTCAACAACGTCCACATCATGCGTCAACTTGGATATAGTTGGTATGCAATATAAGTTTCTTACTTCTAAATGCAAAATGTTTGCCTCACATGTCGCTTTTGTAGCTAGAAAAAGCCAACACTTGGGGTTAGTTTCAGCATGTGCTGACTATAATTTATATCATTGTTGGTACTTGGTAGTAAACTTCTTTTCGGTTTGATA